TTTTTTTTTTTTTTTTTTTTTTTTTAAAAAAAAAAAAAAAAAAAAAAAAAAAATTTTGTTCGGACCTCTGCTTGGAAGAAAATATAGAGGCCGCGCCTCTTGGAACTTTAATTGAATACCCCTGACTTATGTAATAAATAAATACTTTATTTGTATGGTTTTGTAATCAGGGTTTCTGCAGGTTTCACCAAGTCAAATTTAAGACTTTTTAAGACCTTTTTTAGACCATTAAGAATGAAATTTAAGACCTATATCACGAAATCAAACAAACACACACACACACACACACACACACACATACAAAGGAAAATGCAGAATCACAAAATTACTGGCAAAGTAAATGTATTCAAATTAAACAGTACTGAAGACAGGTTAGATGAATTGTTGAACTACAGAAAAAAACAACAACTTCCAAACATCTTGCCGTGAGTCTGCAGATGTGTGTGTGCGCGTGTGTGCTACATTAATCTCAGCTCTTCTCCCTTGGCCAGAATCTCCTCCTCAAATGTTCTTGAGCTCAGCTGATTTCTCCTTGCTGGCCCTCCTCAAAGCATTTGACTTAGTTATTAGCTGAGCCATCTTACTGCCAGCCTTGCCCTCAGCCTCCTCTGCAAATTTGTTTGCATCTCTGGAAAGACTTTCAGCAACTGTTTGTATAATGTTCCTCCTTTTTCAAGTTCCTCCAAGTAATCCTCTGCCGCCTTTCTCTTTTGCCCCTGTGCAAGGGATTCGTTCTTCTTTCTCTCTGTCTCAAGGTAGAGACAGTACCTGGCTCTGGCTGATGCCACCGAACTCAAGAGTTCTTTTGTCAGGGGAACTTTGGTAACACCCCCGTGTTGAGTGACATAGTCACATACCAGCCTCTGTGCTACTAAAGTGTCCTCTTGCATGTTGCAGGTTTCTATTTCTTTATTAACAGAAAAGCCTCTTTCAACAGTGGCCTGTCCATGAGACAAAATCAGAAGCTTGTGGCAAAAAGCAAAAAGCTCTTGGTAGTTACTAAGGAAACTGCTCAAGAAGACGTCAAGCCTCTTTTGCATCGGTGGGAAGGCGTCTCAGGAGACTCTGCCAAAAAATAATCTCAGAAGTAAATGGAAGTATCTGGTGCCCACATTTCTAAAAAATATAAAGCCATATATATCATATCCTAATTCCAATGAATGAAAGTTCAAGAAATTACTTATTATTCATTAACAAAGTGTATACATCAATTAAGCCTAATCAGTAGTGGCAATAGTTCTGTGCTGATAATGTACAGAGCTATCCATATAAAGCAGTACCTTGATCAGCTCAGCCAGGTCATTGCTGAGGAAAGGCATCACTGGCTCATCTGTTTGATACTTCTTCAAAAAGAGACTGAAAAGCCTGGCAACAGTCAAGGAGAAGTGTAACTTGGCCACGATGAGTGTGTCTTTCATGGCATCCTCCACTGTGTCAAAAGATGCTGTCCCAGGGTTTGGGAGTTGTTTTCTTCTCACCGCATCCATATACTGTGTAAGTGATGGCCAAACTTTAAGAGCCCTCTCTATCACAGGCTGGTTTTCAAGCCACCGATGACCACAGAAAGATAAAGGGAAGACGGTGGACTTGGTCACAGCAGTGTAGTCTTCTCTCCTTGCTGGCACATTATGGAATAATGTGTGCATGGCTCTCAGCAGTTTCTCCACTTGCCATTTGGAAAAGCCACTTTTGACTGCATTATGTAACGTGTGGAGTCCACGGCTCCCCACAGCAACAAGTTAAGAACCTCCATACTTTTCTGCATGTTCTTGTTGGAAGAGTTCAAAACATTTAAAATTCACATTGGGCCCATCCATTGAAATGGACACCAGTCTCCTTAGGTCAAGGGGGTCCACGCACTCCTGAGGAAAAAAACAAATAAACTTAACCCTTCAATTCATATTCATTTACACATATTCTGTTATTTCTGGTGTTGTTTATTAACCAAGAAATTAGTAAGCATGCATTATACTGTGAATGCTGCCACCCTTCCTTTTTCTATTAATTGTGTATATATTCAATGTCCATACTTTTTTACTATGCCCATTAAACCATGTATATAAACCTATATAATGTTCAACACAATTGTCCTAATACTCAAATATCCGGCCCTTGGCAGATAGGCATTTTCCTTTCAGCCATGGATCTGCTCAAGGTTTCTTCATTAATTAAATACAATTGAATTATTTCTTGCAAAATAGCCATCTAGCACAGTTATAGCAAAGGAAGGTAGACACCATACTGTTCAACAGGTAGTATAAATAGGAAAAATGGATAAAAATCCACTTAATACAAAAGAAAAGGTAAGCCTAATCACTCCTCTGCTAATGATTAAAAAAAAAAAAAAAACTATACACGTGACAGTAATTTTTTTTATAATAAAACATTTACTACAGTCCTCGGCTGTAGCATGCCCCATGAACTGGGATCCCAGGTATCTTGACTGTACCTGCCCGCCTTCCCAAAAACGTACGTGAAGTTCCAGCTGTTTCTTTTTGGAGGTGCGATTCAGACTTTCGTCAAACATCAGCACGAACGGTCCCGTCACTTTCGAAATGAGGTCTCTCTTGATAAAATCTGCTAGTCTAAAGCGCGCAAATGTAGGCAGTTTTATCTGTCCCGCACCTGAATGACTTAGCGATGTCAGAGTCCGGAAACATCGTCTGAAACAATTCACCGATTTCCTCATTCACATTATAGGACTGGTGTCTAGTCATGGTGTGGAGGATCCAGAGCACCTCCGCTCTTAGTGTTGGCTCTAATCCAAAAGCGACACAGAGGTCGCTCACATGGGTTGCGGAGCTGCAGTGTGGTTCTCGCCTAGGTAGTGTGGAGCCACCAGATATTTGGCAGAACTGGCTGATGGCTGTCGTTTGCTGGAGACCCTTCACAACAGTTAGATGTTTCTCACTTTTTGCATGAGACTTCAGCGCCCGTACACCCAACGTTCCCAGTTTAATCGCTTTCTTGCATACTAAGCAGTAGGCTTCAAATATGTTGTTAGCAACTGGCCTTAACCAAGCCCTAAATTAATTTTTTTCAAGCCAAGTATCGCTAAACTTGCACTTCCCCATAGCTGAAAAGTAAAATCCGTTTTACGTCTGTGGTACAATCCGAGAGAAACTCATGCCAGTAACAGAAAGCTGATTGGATGTTGCATGTTGGTCTCATTTGTAGTCGTAATAAAGCAAATTATATTTGGACTAGCGAAGGAAAGAACTACAACACCACGGAAACAAACAACAACAACAACAAAAA